TTTCCTTCCTTCTCCCTCCTCCTTTTTCCCCTATTTCTCACCCCATGTTTAGAAAGCACTGCACTGAACTCGGAGGGGAGGATGTGGCCTGGAAGAAGACAGCAATTAGAAATGATGTCTGAAAAAGGGAGAGGAGAAGAAAGGGGACGTTTGACACTCGGAGCCACTTCTGCAATATTGAGCACAAGTAGCTGACAACTGCATTGTCCCTATGTAGCATTTTCTTTTTAGTTCAATGGAATCAGCTGAATTTCCCTTCTTTCTGTTGTCCCCAGAGCTCTTCATGACTGGGAGTCTGCTGCTTTATTCTTCTGTCTCCTTCCTGTCACTACTGCTAGAACATATTTTGTTAATACATAAAATTAAGAAACTTCTTAAAAGGTGAGGGGGATCAAGTAATAGATGTTAAGGCTCTGATAATCTTTTCGTTTAAAATCTCCAGTGGCTGGCTGGCTTTATTTATTTCCACCTCATGGTTTCTACATCCTGCTAAGCTATGCCTCTGCATTTCTGTGGAGGGATGATGTCTCGGTGGTTCTGAAATGTTTTGGCATAATACATTTACAGATTTTAGATATCTCAATTTCTGAAATTGTGAGAGAAAGTATGCAGAAGGCAGATTTCTTAAAGGAAATGGGCTCGCTTCCTGATGGCTTAGTAAGGATGGATATTCCTTATGTGTGTTTGGGTGTGTGCTTTGCCGCTGGCTGGGATGTGCTCCGTGTCCTTCTACTTTTCCCTGTGCCTAAAAGAGCATTTGTCTTGTGACAAAAATGCAGGCATCCTCTGTGTCATATCAGCATTCCCCAAGCATGGGATTTGGGTCTTATGTCTGTTGCTCAGGTAGCATAGATACTTGTTAGGAGGAGTGAAGTGCTCTCTGGGCCTTATGCATTTTTCTGATTAGCTGGCTGTAGTCAGAGTGCTATTGTGATACTGCTGAAATAACCATTTAATAGCTAAATATGAGATGGACAGGTAGACTTATCTAGCTATATGCAGGAATTTTTGTGATCAATGTTCAGAAAATCCAAACTGTGTACTTATTCTTTTCCATAAATAGTTGAGCTGAATTCCTTACAACTTACACACTGTATGGTGATTTGGAGTAGTGAGTATAGAGTGTCTGAGGAGAATTGTTCTGATTCTGCAAAGTTTTAACATTCACTTTCCAGTAATTATTTGCAGTTGTGAAGTTGCAGAGTAGCAGAGAGCCAGGTCCATGTTAATTCATTCTGAAGGATACAGCGAGGCTGATAGTAATTAACCTGTGTTGGTGAGCTGAGCAGACAGCTGGGTTACAGAAGGAAAAAAGGAGAGGGGAAAAAAAAAAGTAAGAAGTTGGTAGAAATCAGTGCTGATGAAAGCCGCAGGGGTTTCACTCGTCTCCACAAGGCAAAGAGGGATATGCAGTTTGCTACTGAAGTAGCTCTGACAGAATTTGAAGGATGCATGTGGCTTTTAAGGCAACATGTTAATATAATATGTCCAAGGGAAAGGAAACCTGCTTCTTCAATGCAAACATCTCTCAAACCCATCTGGTAATAATCAATCAGTTTAATGAGCAGAAGGAAATGGACTGACGCTAATAAGCCTTATTGTGCTGTGGTAGAGGAAAGGATGCTTTAACATATAGACAAAGGATTCTTCTGGCTGCAGTGATGGGCTTAATTGATGAGTCCTGCCTGGGTGACATCAACACACAAGGGCTTCATATCTAGCCTGTCCAATAGATGGAAGTAAACAGACAATAAATATGTAATATGAATGTGATATACTTATAAATGAGCTAAAACAGACTCTAAAAAGTCTGTCAGCCTAGTCAGAAGTAATGGCAGTTGGAGCAAAGAATCAGAATTGATGGCTTGGCTGAAGGCTGAGCTACATGGTAGTATTTGATTAGCCAGTCTTTCATATGCAGAACACCACATTGTTTTCAATTGCCTTGCCATGAGCAGTTGTGGCTCAATCAGAAAAATTGTAGAAGGCCATGCATAGGAGATCTAGCTGGGCATGTGGCTTCACAGGAGCACAAGATACCACAAAATACACATTGCATCTGCATGCTGTATCTGTGTCTGTGTTACAGGTAGTGTGGCCTATTAGAAACTGATCTGTAGAGCAGAACAGTTATTGGCGGCTTGACATCCATGCTGTGTTTATCTGGGAGTGTTTTACTGGGGGCTAACTCTTGTCTGGTCCCATCTATACAACATCTTCTAGTGATTAGAGCATATTAGGTATGATCCTGGAGCCTATTTTACAGTTTAGTTTCATCTAAACTAAAGTCATGATCTCCAAGCCCATTCCACAATGCAAGCCAAGGCACAATGAGTGGGTATGCTTGAGAAGGATTTGCTTCAGAAGCATGCTTCTTACCATCTGAACTAAAATTGTAGTGTAGACACACCTTACACAGCCTAGGAGAACAAGAGGTGGAAGCTAGGTGAGAACAGCAGTGCTTTAACCTGAAAAGCAATTCTTCAGACACATCCCTTGATGGAATATGTATTTAGACTTTTGCTAGGGAAGTGTGGCATGGCTCTCGTAGCACAAATTTTCTGCAGGAGCCGCTGTAGTCAGACAAAGCTTTCTCTGTCCAGAAAGTATATGCATTACAAAGAAATGAAGAGAGATCTGTAAGAATAGTGATGGATTTAGAGGTATAGGAGATTTGAGTTTCTGCCCGCTGTTCTGCTTTAGGTAATGGGAACAGGTGAATGGGCTGGGGGTCAGATGTGATCAAGGCAGGAGCTACCTGGCAGCAGTCTGTGTCAGGTGCGCTGGTCTGCTGAGTATTGGGTACACAATTCAAAGCGGTGACTCTCATGTTTCTGCCGGCTGTGGGCTGTTGTGGGCTCCACGCACAACAGCACGGTGGGCCGTGGGCCGTGCCCCGCTCTGCTGGTGTCTGCTAGCTCAAACCTGCGGCCTGGAGAGCAGGGTGTGGTGCCGGTGGGCACCGGCGGCCACACAACAGCACGGTGGGCCGTGGGCCGTGCCCCGCTCTGCTGGTGTCTGCTAGCTCAAACCTGCGGCCTGGAGAGCAGGGTGTGGTGCCGGTGGGCACCGGCGGCCACAATTTTTTCGGCAAGGAGAGAGGGCTCGGCAAGGGCTGCTGGTGCCGTGGGGCTGGGGCTCCCCCACACCTGCCCGGGGGCCCAGGGCAGCAGGACATTGTAAGGGAGCTGTGTCTTTAAATAATTTATTTAAGACCTAGTACATGATACACAAAAGACTGTGTTAAAAGTACAATGTTGAGTTGTGAAGTCAAACACACAAAAACACATCTAAAAGGAATATTAATTTTGCCTAAGAAATCCGTTTCACTCCAACTACTGGCTGGATTTTCCCTCATCAGAGAGTAGCGAAGGGGTCTGGTTGTTGCTGAAAAGTTGAATGCCTGAGGAGACTTTGGAGTGTGAAATATGGTCTTACAGCTAAAGGTGCTGAAGGGTACTCTGGGAACTGGATATTTTTTTTTCCCTCCCATTTGCTTAAGTGCTGTAGGAGACTAGGAAAAGGCTTCTTCAATGTCCCCGGTGCTCCGCGTTGCCCCAAACGCTGACACGGGAAGCAGCTCAGTCTGACGTGAAGAAGCGCTCGCCCTCTGTGGCTTCCAGACAGTCAAAAGCAGTTGTGCTTCGAATTCAGGAATGAACTCGGGGCTCTGGCCACGCTCCCTCAGCACACCAACAGCTGTGGGTAGCTTTTCACATAGGCACCTCGAGATGTCGGAATGAAAACCGAAGCAGCTAACCGCGCCGACGAGGCAGGCAGAGTCTCTCTTATTTTTCATAACCTCCCGCTGCGCTGACGGGCGGTTGGCGGTGCCGCGCTGCCCCCTGGCGGCCCTTTCGCTTCCCCGCGAAGGCGCGCTCCAGAACCAGCCCTGAGGGCTGTCCTCGCCCCGCTGCGGGGGGCGGTGTGTTTTGGGAGGGGGTGCTGCTCCACACCACACCTGCAGTGTTCCCCTGCTAGGCCTTTCTCTCCATTACTGGCCTACTCCCTACAGCGCTTAGCAGGGAAGGCGCACACCAGTCCCTCCTCCAGTGCTTTTTTTTTTTTCCTGTATTTTAATCATATCAAGGTGCTTAATAAAAAAAAAAGACCATGACAGCAATGAAGGGAGATAACCCATAACCAAAACTGATTGCTTAAAGTGTTAGGTTATGGGGTTGGTTCAACTAATCTTGATTTATAATTACTGCAGAGGCCCAATTTCCACAGGAAGAGCAAAGATGCAGAGTGGCGATTTACAGATCTCACTTAGAGATGTTACTCTGATTGTGCCAAACAGGGGAAAGAATTGAGTCCTGGTCTCCTTAGGTAAGTAAGTAGTTGAGACGGCCAAAATGCTGGCCTTGAGCACTTCAAAGTGTGGTTCCTTCACTGGGATCACCGCGCGTCAGAGCCAGGGTGGTACCAGGTCGTCCCCCTCCCCAGGCGGGGGGAGCAGCAGGGCACAGCCAGCTGCCCAGGGCAGGCCCACCTGCCTGTGGCTGCACCAAGCACCAGAAAACACAAGGGAAAATAAACCCAAAACCTTCCCTGGAGGTCTTGAAGATCCTTTACTCCATGGAAGAATGGGATTTATGAAACACCCTTGTACTTAGCATTTTCTACCATATAGCTCCTTCAGTAGTGCGTAGTTGCTCTGGATCTCACCCTGAAGGCATTAGCTCCTCAAGTACTGTATGGCTTGTATAGCTTACGCATTTTTCTTTGAATGAAGTACTCAGATTTATCTTTGGGGATTAAGAACATGAAAATAAAATTCCACTGCAAACATCTGGCATCACATCCTCACATTTAGTCCTTAAGTTGCATTCCTCCATATTTCCTGTCAGCCAAGCGCAGGAGTTGTACTTCTGTCAAACGTGATGTGATGATGAGGGCACTAACCTCAAGGTTAAACTGGCAACACAACTAAGAGTTTGGTGTTGCAACTCTGGCACGTATTTATTCATGACAACAAGAAAGACAGCAAAGTTCTCAGCCATTATCCTGGTACTGTTGTGTGTGTGTATCTACGGGAACAGAGAAGTTGATTTTGAAATATTTGCAAGTACAGGTAAGTTTTGTAGTCTTCAGCTGTTCAGTGAGCAAGTAGATTCTTGGCTTGATACTGTCTATACTTGATATTCTTATTGTATCAGAAAGCATCATAAAGAAAATATAAACGGGGCACAAGAAAGATCACCGAGTTAACACTGTGACATAAGGATTTCCCGTGGGGCTGCCTAAGGTTCTCTCACCCTATGGTCAGCACTCAAAGTGCTCTTCCAACAGCCAGCTCCTTGTTGACATAACAGCTGAATGCGAACAGCTGCCGATGGCGGAATGCCCTAGCATTTGTAACTGTTATCTAATTTCAGTCTCACAAGAACTCTGTAATTCTTCTCTCACTTCACAGATAGGGAAAGTAAAACAAAAATTAAAGGGGCTCATTCAAGTTTCTAAAGGATAGGAAGGTGAGTAGGCATAACCTACTCCATCAGCTTCTGCATTTCTTCAGATATGCAAAATTAAAAAAAAAAAAAATTAAAAAAAACCTGCTATGGCATCACCACACATTCATCAACTTCACACTTACTGTCACATCACCCAGTCACAGAAAGTGCAATTCATCTCAATTAACTTTCATTTCAGGGTGATTTTTGTATCAGATATGATCAGTCCCAGCTCCCCTTTTAGTCAGGGGAGAGAAAGAGGCCTGACTGACTGATCTAGCCCACATGTGCTGATCAGAAGGAGGTGAATTGCACCCTGTAAACATCTGCATCTCTTCAGGGACTATAACCCAAGCTCAGATTCAGGCACCTGTGTTTGGACATGCAAATGCCATCCTCTGTTCTGAGCAGGAATAAGGACATGGCTACCAGTCCCTGGCCTGTTCTCTTTTACACTGTAATGGAGAGTGACATCAGCAAAGATTGGGTCCTTGTTGAAAGCTCAGGAAAGCATTACAGCTGCAGTCAGCTTGTCTAATGCCACAGCTGAAAAAAATAAAACAAATAAGAGAGGGCTATTGAAAACAGATGAACTACTGCTTAAGATAAAGACTTTGTGTGTGCAGTTTCTTTTTCTTCAATCTTACACTAAAGCTGAGCCTGAATGCCTTTGCAGCACAAGCAATAGAAACACTGCAATGGCAGGGAGATTCTTGAAGCTCTGCTGCCCCAGAAGCGAAATCCTTCACCTTAGGCCAAGGCAGGACAGCTGACAACGAAGTCATTCTGCACCTTGCAGAAGAAGTGAGCACCTGAGCCAATAAACTTACTCCAGATACACGTACCTATGTTTTTACGTGATACTCTGTTGGAAGGTAGAGGTCATCACATCATCTCTGACCTGCTGGAGGGGGGATGTTCTTACTCACTGTCTTTTTGGTGCCACCGCACTGCATGCAGAAACACACCGCAGTAGTGAAACATGAACTCGTGCCCGGAGCGCTGAACTGTCCCCCGCAGCAAAGGCACCAAGGTGTGCCCATCGATGACCCTGAAGGAGAGGACGGGAGTCACCAACCTGCTTAAGAATTTCAGTCTGCAGCTGGAGCATGAGCAGGACTCGCTCTTCATGTATGTAGCATTAGGATTTCAAGTGTCATTTCTAAACCAAGCTACTGTTTAGCTAATGAGCCCTGAGATTTTTAATTGGGTGGGTGGGTGGAGACCAATGATTAGGAGTTACTAGCAGTTTTTGCAATTACGGCTAGTTCACGCATCCTGCCTGGGGAGATAAGTCACCATTACTGTAATTTTCCTGGAAGTGATAACCATAGTGAAGGCATGGATCACAGCTTTTAATTTTGCTCCCTGTCACTGATAGCTCTGTGAGGTCAAGGCTTTGTATAAAAAACCAAAACAACAACAAAAACTAACCAACAAAAAAGCCACTTAATTGACTACCAGTTAGTTTAGTTACACACCACCAGTACTTTCATGCTTTTTGCTCTATTGGCTTAGCCACCCATGCTTTCTCATGTTCTTTAGGGGAGCCCGACATAGATGCTACACATTGTTTGCTATTGAGGAAGCTACTTCTCCTGTACTGGCAGCCAAATTCAGGCTGTGTTGCCATTTGCTCCACCTTCTCTACTCATGAAGAACCGAGCTTCCTAGGCTTGGAAAGAGCCTGTCTTAGTACTCTAACAAGACCAACCAGCTTTGTGCATATCTGGATTTTTCATAAAATATAAGATTAAATTTTTGTTTGTTTGTGTGTTTTGGGTTTTGGTTTGTTGTTTGGTTTGTGTTTTTTTTTTTTTTTTACAGTCATCCTAGTGTCCCAAATGAACCAGGTTGCCTTTTCGTGATTAGAAAACTGAATTAAACTTGATAAAACATACTGTTTTCCTTTGCCTTTTCCATATAAGCAGACAAGATGGGGAAAGCTACACAGAAAGAAAGCTGGAGAATTACCTGGTTAAGAAACAAACAGAATTTAACGTGTGGCTGTTAGGATGCATGACATATATAGTCAGCTTCTAAATCAAAGAAAAGGAGCAAATATGGTTTATGAAGACACCTTTGTACCTGTCCTGAGGCACTGCCCCTCCAGCCAGGTGAACCACTGTTGGGAAAACATCCATAAGGCTTGTCAGTTCATTGGTAACTGTCCCTGCAGGCAACACTCCTGGCCATCTAACTATTCCTGGGACACGGATCCCTCCTTCCCAGCCTCCCATTCCTTTTCCACCTGTTGGGGGGGGAGGGGGTACAAAAAAGATAAAAGAATGAAAGATATGTTTATTATGCATGTATAATAAAAGGTTTTAAAACTTTTAGAATATTCAAGTAACTTTAATGAAAACACGCTAAATCCTAGAGAACATAGAATGACTACAGTGCAAATTCTGTGCTTCAAAAATAAGTATTATTAACCTCTTTATTTTACACCACTTTCTTGGGTGACACACAGAACATCCCACTACTAAGCAGTATTTTTGGCAGACAAGGAACAATTCCACCCTCTGACGTTCTGACCTGTAATTTTAAGTGAATGTCATGTCTGAGAATAATCTCTACTCTCCCTAATAACATGTCCAAGAAAAAAGTCAGTATTAATAAAAAGCAAAATCTGACTTGGTGTCAATGGAAGAGAGGTTGCAGCCCCAGCTGGTATCCAAGGAAGGGAGATTAACACAGAGCCAGCTTGATTGTCAGACAGTTCAGAGTCAGAGGCAGCAGGAACATCACAAAATGATTTGCAGTCCTGGAGAGGAGTGAGGGAACTTAGGATAATGTTTGATCGCCCTCCAGGAGTTTACAGTTCCAGGGATGCTCTGAGGTGGTCCCAAAGGGAAGAGTGCAGAACTCATGCAGTAAATAGGTGAGTGCTCTGACTATGCTGCAGTGATGAAGACTTTCCACCTACATTTCTGTTGAAGTTGTCCTGAGGTAATCCAAAGAGTCTTTCTTAACTTGGTTTCTCTTGCATTCCTCTAGTCTTCTTCTAAATTCTCTCCTCCGTGCATTGGCTCTCTTGCAAGTCAAAATATTCATTGTTTGGAATAGTATTTCAAAGTGAGAATCATTAACTAATTACAGACATGCATTACATACATCAAAGATGGGGATATTAATGAAACAAAGTGGTTTAAAGCCAGAACTGCAAGTTGAGGGTCCAGTTAGAAAACAGAAATTGCAAAACATTGAAGCTCAGGTACCTGTATGACCTTCGCTCTGTTATTCCTCCTATCAAGGGCAGAAACTACAACTCATTGCTGGAAAGTGTTGTAGGAAAATTGGCAAACTTGAAGCTAGCTTATTCGCTCAGCTAATAAATCAGCAGCTGAATTGTAGTTTATTAATAACAGGAGCCTCTAGCTTTACTAAGTAATGCCGGACTCTGCTATGGAGGAGGAGTGCTCATAGTTACAGCTGGGAGGCAAGGTTCCCAGAGCTTGGTTTTAAAGGCTGACAAGGTGGCATGATGGATTGTAAACAGGGCAAGTCCAACTGCTTGTGCAGTAATCTTTGTGCTGTGTAAGATAATGGTATCTCATGCTCTGTTATTCGCTAACTGTTCTCATTATTCATATGCATGGCTTATTTATCTTCCTGTTTTTAATATCCTGTTAGCAATAGAAACAGTGAGTTCTACAGATATTAATGAATTAAACTAAATTTTTTAGTCTTGCTAGTTAGTTTCATTGGAATGTCCCCTGTTCTGCTGTACGTGGCCATAAATGGGAATGCTTATCTGTTTTTAATATCTAAACTGATATTATATCTCCTTGTGTCTCCTCTCTGAGCAGGCATGATTTCACTGCTGTCCTTTCATACCAAAATCTCTGTCTAATCACATTCATCTTTCCTTCCCGGACTCTTCTGTTACTAATACACTTGTGTTAGGCTAGTAGAAGTGAATTCCCTAGGTTAAGTTCTGAGCTATTCAAGTCAGTCTGTTGGCCTTTTTGCATCGGTTATTGGTATGGAAGCTTCATATCCAGCACTGAAGGCTAATTTAGCATTTAGGACTGTTCCTGGTTGAGATCCCAGCTGTGTCAAACATTGCTTGTGTGGCTCATCAAGTACCTTACTACTAGACAATGTGCATTTTGGTGCTGAGCAAGGTCAAGGCACCCAAATCTTCTTCTGTGGGGAAATAAGTGATGGGAGCAGTTTTCAGGCTTCATTATACAGTAAGTGCCAAGCTGCCCAAGCTGTCACAGTGGTTTTTTGAGGCTTAGCAGTCTGAAGGGAACCCATGCAAGAGATAGATACCATAGATCTTAGTTTCCATAGAGCTTTCGACACTGTTGCAAGCCAGTCATAGAGTCTAGATGAAACTTCTATATGATAGATGAGAAACTGAGAAACTATATCAAGAAAACAGTCATCATGATATCCGCCACTGTTGACATACACAATCATCTACTGTGAAAACCAGAAAGGTTTCAAGTGAGACTCCAAACAGTGTGTTCTGGATCTGTGTCAGGGGAAGTTCAGACTGGACATTAGGAAAAGGTTCTTCACTGAGAGGGTGGTCGGTCACTGGAACAGGCTCCCCAGGGAAGTGGTCACAGCACCAACCCAGAGTTCAAGGTGCGTCTGAATAACACTCTTGATCATATGGTTTATTTTAAGGTAGTCCTGCGAGGAGCGGGGAGTTAGACTTGATGATCCTTATGGGTCCCTTCCAACTTGAGATATTCTGTGATACTACATTTTCAAGTAGTGCTTTGGGTTATGGATTAGATAGTATGCTTACAATATTTAAAGAGAAGATGGAACTAGAAGGGGGTACAAGGGTACTGGAGTATAAAGAAAGGATGAACGAGGGGGAACATAACAGCACTGAAATAACATGATGGCATTGCAACAACAGGCTGTTGCAAGGAGGAAAGGAAGAATCTCTTCTTTGGTGAATAGGGCAAGATCTGTTGCTTAAACTGCAGCAACAAAATCCAAAGTAGGTACCAGAAAAAAGCCTCCAGTAGCATAGACAATGACAACTGGATTATCTGGGGAATCACTGAAGGTCTTTAAGAATAGGTTAGACAATACAGCTGTCAGGAGTAGCTTTGGTGAAAGGAATCCTCTCTGAAGGCTGAAAGATGAGTAGCTGATGCTCTTCGTTTGCTCCAGCCCTACAATCCAAGATTATCATCATATAGCTTAGTAAATATAGCCTATCTGGATGTATTTTCTTCTATCATTTTCTTTTTAAGAGGAAGTCTTATGCGTGTACACACTAAGAAAATTTTACCTTTATAGATCCCATTCCATCCACCCAACTGAGCATTTCCTCTCTGAGCTTCTAAGGATCCTCCATGATCAGATGCAAAATAAATGAATGTGGTATTCTTCAAGCCTTCTTTGTCAATAACATCCAGAAGTTTGCCTATAACAAAGCAAAATATCATAATTATGTCCAGAGATGCAGTCAGAATTTTTAGGCCTTGACTCAAAATTCAGTGACGACCGAGTCCTTCCATTTACTTGAGTTCTGTTACGAGCTACCACAAGCAGTGCAAAGAGTAATCCTGCATTATAGGAATAATAAGAGCCCAACAGAAAGCTGCCAAATGTGTTCAAAATTTGTTTGTGGTATCTATAAAAACAGGAAAATAAAAATTAAAACTAATTGGAAATAATATAAATGAATGATCCTTTTTATTCCAGCTACTCTGAATACTCTGTCAGCTTTATGCTGTAAATTCTCTGAGTCAAGGATTGTCTTCATTGTGTAGCCTCAAGCATCTTGAAAAGCTTAAATAATAGTGCTGCCTAGATTCCTAATCATAGAAAACTGCTGTGTGTCACCAGGAACTGAACAGGGACTATGAGATCAGGCTGCATACTATCAACCAAAATCATCTCCTGATGTCAGTGGGAAAACTCCACAGAATGTAACTGAAACCTACCTTCATAAGGAATGTTTTTGGTACTGATAGCATCAAACATTTATACAGAATATGATTTATCTTTGATTGCTTGTCCTTATAGAATCATAGAATCATTATGGTTGGAAGAGACCTCAAAGATCGTCAAGTCCAACTGTATACCTGATGCCACCATGCCCACTAAACCATGTCTTGAAGTGCCACATCTAAACGTCTTTTGAACACCTCCAGGGATGGCGACTCCACCACCTCCCTGGGGAGCCCATTCCAATGCTTAACGACTCTTACAGTGAAGAAGTAGGTTATCACCTACTGCACCAAATATATTCACCAAGAACAGCTTCCATAGTTACAGAAGCAGCAGCAAAAGCTGAAGCATGCAAGGAAAAAGCATAAGCCAGTGATCAGGTCTTTTGCTCAATCTCTTCTCCTTTACAGACTTCTTGTGTCTCCTTGGTCAAACTACTTATTGACCTTACTTAAAAATAGACACCTGCCCCCAAAAAGAGTTTAGATTGAGTTTAGGCATATTGGTTCTGATTTAGACCCCAAATCTCTTAGCTGTCCAACCCTGGAGACTTCTGTCCTTGCTATCTGCCATCCTGTTTGGCCTTTACAAAGCATGTTCCTGACACTGTCGGACTTCTGCTATCCAGCTCTGCTTGTGTAGCTTGTGCCTGGAGGTGAATGGTGCCAAAAAGCTGCAAGAGGAGCATTGCAGAGTCCTCCGATTCAACTGGATCTTGCAGAGGTTCTCAGCCTGCCCATCAGAAGCAATGGGGCTCCTCTCAAAATACAATTTTGTAAACATGGTTATCGGAGGAAGAAAAGGTTCAGGGATTAAATCTTGGCCTGGACAGGAGGCAAATACTTTGTCAATAGGATCTTCACTTTTGACTAAATACATACAGGAGGTATTTCTCTCCCTCCCTCCCACTGAAGCAGAAAGGAACTACTAAGTAAGGCTGTTGTCTAAATCTAGGCACTCAGAGCCTAGGTTTAGACCTAAGTGTGTCTTCACGATATACTGACTTTACAGAATTTATTAAGTGAAACTGCAGCTTTTTAACTTTGCCTTTTGGTTAGGAGGGAATTCTGGTTTCTGCTCCAAGGATTATTCTTTGGTAAAAACGAAGAAGTACACAAAACCACCACCGGATCATGTAATATTCATCAAAAGCCCCAGTTGTATCTTCTAGATAGACTAGACAGAGCTGGAGAAAAGTCATACATTTTGATTAAGAACAGGATCAAGCACATATTTGATTATTTGACTGCATTTAACACTGCAGCAAAGAAGTGTGTCAATTAAAAAAGTAAAAGGAACAAAAACTCACAAGAAAAAGTTTAGGCTTTCATCTTAAGAAAGAAAAAGAGAGATGTAGTAATGGAATGGCAATCTCTGGAGCTAACTGTGTATCCAACACAAGTTCACTGGTTTTTGTCATATGCAAAGGGAGTTCTGTGACCACCCTTTTGATTTCTTTTCCACATTCAAACAGAGTAAGGATTTTCTTCAAGACGACCACTTACCCACCATCCAGTCCATCTCCTCT